TTCTAATTCAGGTTTTATTGTTTGTTCATTTAGTTTTATTTCTTTCATGATTCTGTATTTTCATGCCAAACTCAGAGATTTATTGTTTTAATGCTTTATGTTCTTACTAAAATCACATTAAGTTGCATCATGTTAGTTATTCTTTTTAACCTCTTTTTGGATGTTTGTTTGAAGCCAGTCTAAAACATCATATGGAAATTCACAAAATAAAAATCTGTTTAAAGTAAACGGTTTGATGTACTTGACTGAAAGGTAAAACGTTTGATGTAAATGCCACAAACAGAGAGGAGGATCATGAAAACTGTCAAACTGGAGACACAAGAAAACCAAAAGTCTTCATGGCATCAGAAGAGTGAAAGGATTGAAAACAACTCTTTTTCAGAAAACTTTCAAATATTTGAGGCTTGATGAATTCAAAATGGATGTTCAGCATCTGAAGAAACCAAACTGATGTGTTAGGTTCTTCTATAAATAAAGTCTCAGCTTCAGGTTAACAAACCTTTTATTTCACTTCTGTTGCAGCAAAACCTTCCTCTCTGTAGAAAACTAACTGTAAACACAGTAACAGAGTATTTTTTTAATCTTTTCACAATAAGGCAGCCTGCTCCAGACAACCTGACCTGTTGATGTTTGATTGCAACGTAGTGGAAAACAGATGTGTATTTGAGCAACAATAAGACATTTTTATTTCTGCAGCGCGCTCTGACAAGACAACACAGACTCGTGCCTACATTCTCATGGACCTGGCCAGACCTGAAGCCATCCAGATTTTTTTTATATGCTGCGGAGGTGCGTGAACCAGGAGTCGATGGACGTGTCCTCATTCCAAGGAGGACCCTGAAAGAAAGTTTAGGAAACTGTGCAACCCTCAAAGAAACATAGAAAAGACAGAAATTCATCACTCGTAACCAAAAGGCTGGTGAGTCCATTGAATCCTCAGCAAGCAGTCTGAGATACAAAGCTCAGCAGGGCCGGATTAACACTTCGCTGTACCCTGGGCAACAATATTCAAGGGCCCCATCCTCACGACCCCAGGATTACCAGTCTGGCAAAATACAGAGTAAATTATTGCAATATATAGCAAATATACTCAATACTTCAAATTCTAAGTGTATTTTGATGTACAAATGCTCATAGAACTACAAATACACTATCTCCTTCACATGATGCTATAAAAACAAAACACATCAGTATAATCTGGTAAACATGAACCACTACAT